CCTTAAGACTCGGATTTTTCTAGTTGCCTTGTTCTTTGACTTCACTGTATTTTTTTGGTTGAATTTTTTTTTAGGGGAGTTTTTTTGTTGTTGTTTTGCTTTTTGTTTTTGGTGCTGAGGACCAAACCCAGGACTTCCAGCTTGCTAGGCAAGCACTCTACCCCTGAGCCATCAAAGTTTAAAAAAAAAAAACCTGCATGAATAAGGCTTACAAACCAATAAAAAATGCCTGGAAACCTGCAGCCTAGCTTAAGCAGAGCCACTGGGCCTGGGGAGTGTTGCTCAGTAGTTATGTGAGGCCCTGGGTTCAGTCACCAGTATCAGAAAAACCACCAACAGAAACTTCCTGCTACTAAGTGCTGCTTGCTTACATAAGCACAGGGACCAGGGTTTGATCCCTGGCACCACAAGCTGTGCCGGCCCTGCCCCTGGGCATGCTGAGCCAGCAATGGAATACTGGCATGGTGATGCATGCCTATAATCCCAGCACTAGGGAGGCACAACTCGCAGCAAGCCTCCTGCCTCAGCCTCCTGAGCACTGGGATTACAGGTGTGCACCCCCATACCTGGCTGGTCCTGAGTTTTATTCCCTGGTCTCCTTGAGCTTCTTTAGTTGTCATGCATAATCTGTATGTGTCTTTGTGTGTTCCTAATGATGTACTGATGCACTTTACATGGTCTTTAAAAAATTTTATTTTATTTTATTTTTTTGCAGAACTGGGGATTGAACTCAAGCCCTTGCGCTTGCCAGGGAAGCGCTTATTCCACTGAGCCATCTCCCCAGCCCCTAAAAAAATTTTTCTCATTTATTTGGTACAGGATCTCGCTACGTAGCTTGGACTTGTACTGATCCTCCTGTTTCAGCCTCCCCAGCACTGGGATAACAGGTCCCCAGTCTGGGTAGGTGACCAGCATGGTGCAACCAGTGTTCCAGGGCTGGCAGTACCAATACAACGGATCAAATCCAGATCATCCAGATCCTTGCACCTGCCAGTAAGGTGCTTAGACTGCTAAGCTATCTCCCCAGCCCCCTTTTTTTTTTATATAAATAGGGTCTCACTACACAGCTTGGTCTCATAGTGATCCTCCTGTCTCAGCCTCCCTAGCACTGGGATTACACATCTGGTTTCAGTGGCTGGCACAGTGCACCACTAGCCAGACAAGCACTTAAGACAGCTGAGCTAACCCCCCAGCCTTTTTTTTGTGGTAGTGAGGATTGAACTCGGGACCTTGCTTTTGCCAGGTGCTAATTTTACTGAGCTATCTCCATGGCCCCACCTCACAGGGTTTTAAACTTCATATAGACAACCTGTCTCATGGACACATTTCAACTCACTCTTGTCGCTCTGTTTTGTGACTCCTTCAGGCTCATCCTGCCATACTGTTGTTTTTTTTTTTTTTTGGTGGAACTGGGGATTGAACTCAGACCTTTCTGCTTACCAGGCAAGCACTTATTCTACTGAGCCATCTCCCCGGCCCCCTGCCATACTGTTGATGAGACAAAATACTCGTTTTCAAGGGAGGGTCACTTAAGTTCATTTAAACTGTAGATTAACAAATTCCCTCATCCTCTGCCCTGTAATCATAAAACCCACTTAGGAAAACAAGGCCACAAAAAGGAAGCAAACAGCTTAGAAAGTAAACATCAAAGCGAAATATCCTGTGACCAGCAGGTGGTCTACAGTGTCTGAAAAATGTAAGACTATAAACCTTATACAATTGTGTGACAATTCTGCAACATTCCTGAGCGTAAAAATGTAGTTGAGGGGCCAGGGAGATGGCTCAGTGGAATAAGCACTTCCCTGGCAAGCGCAAGGGCCTGAGTTCAAGCCCCGGTTCCGCCAAAAAAAAAAAAAAAAAAAAAGTAGCTGCTATAGATACCTCCCAAGTATATAACCTAAAATCAAAGTTCAGGCTAGTACTGACAATCTGGGAGTCCTGACCCAAAGTCAGGGTGTCAGTCAAGAGCTCACAATCTTCTCTTTTGTGGCTTGCTCACTTCACCTCCACTAAAGTGTCCCACCCTTCAGGTACACGTTGTCACTCATCTGCTCTCTTGCTAACAGCCTATTGGATCACACAACCAGTTCGTGCTCTCATATGTTGCAGCTTTGGCTATACTGTGAGCTTGTCTTCTGGCACATGTATAACGGACCGCATAAGACACAACCAGAGCAGGCTTGGGGAAGGCAACATGGCACAAGATTTATTGTACCTGTGCACGAACAGACTGAGGGTGATAAAGCTATAAGCCCCAAACAAATAAAAGCAGGGCTTTTCATGGGGCCTGGAAATGGGAAGGGGTCAGGTGAGATCGGGTGGGAGTTTCATTGGGGGGGGGAGGTGGAGGGGACACTGAGTACACATGTGGTCAAGGTTCTCCAAACATCCAATGCAGGTGCATAGACATTATTAGATGCTCTGGTGCTGAGATCTCCTGTCCTATCTCTTCTTCATAACATCCTGTCCTGTTTGTGCAGGGAAAGGAAGACCTGTCTGGGGTTTCCTGCCATTCACTGATGGAAACATGCTTTCTGGGGGCTGTAATTTGCTGAAAAGTATGGGTGGTGGGAAGTTGTGCCCAGGCTGTGCCTGACAGCACATAGAAAATTCCTTTAGGGCAGTGGTCTTTAAACATCGGTACACTTCAGAATCACCCAGGGAAGCAATGCAAAAATGCTGATGCCAGCTGGGTATAGTGGTACATGCCTGCAATCCAGCACTTGGGCGGCTGAGGTTGGAGAATCTCGAGTCTGAGGTCAGCCTGCACTACTTAGCAAGACCCTATCTTGAAGAAAACAACAAAAAATCCTGAACAAATTAAAACTATAAACCAGCAGACACCACGGGCCCCACTCCAGGAGCCACTGACTTACTAGGTCGTTGGAAGAAAAACCCAGGCATCCAAGAGCCACTTTGTTTTTAGCAGTCACACAGGCGATTCTAACACAGCTGGCAGTGAACTGCCCAAAGGATTCCCACCAGAGGTCCCACCTGCCACTGCAGCTGGCCCCTTGCTGCTTAGCCTCTTGCAGCTGCTCTACTCATGAAGCAGCCCCTCTTCCCCTACCCAGCAAGACTGCTTTCAGCACAAGGGGTTCTCCTTCAGCCTTCCTGGAGGCCACAGTCACCATCTGGGGTAACGCTGCCACTCAAGGGGCTGCCTCACTCCATAACAGGCAGCAGTGTCCTCTCTCTCCCTCTTTCCTGGGCACCTGCTTTTCAGCCCCTCCAAAGCTGCAGCTGCCACCTACCCCTAAGGTAGGGTTCGTTGTTGCTGCTCACTGCACTTGCAGCTTGCGAGTGAATTCAGAAGAGCATGGCACCAGGCACTAGGGAGCATACCGAAGTCCCAGCACTTGAGGCACTGAGTTAAGACTGTGTTGGAGGCCAGCCCGGATGCCATGGCAAGACGAAACTTTAAAAATACAAACAGGAGGGGTTGGGGAGATAGCTCAGTAGACTAAGCGCTTACCTAGCAAGCGCAGGGTCCTGAGTTCAACCCCTAGTACTGCACACACACACAAAAAAGAGCAAAGAAAAAGAGGGAAAGGGAAATAAAAAGGACTAAAAATGCAAACAGGAACTACAAGTATTCTAAAATAAAAACAATTTTAAAAATAAACAAACAAAAAAATACAAATAGGAAGAAAGCAGGCGGGGGGAATCCCAGATGTATGCCGCCAGGTTCTAAGCAAAAGACGTAGTTTCTAAACCAGTTCATTCCCAGTCCCCTCAGACCTACTGATCCAGAATGTCCACAGGTGACATTAGGCACCTGTATTTTTCATGTTTTTTGGTTTTGCAGTATTGAGGATTGAGCCCAGGGCCTTGTGTTGTGACTGAGCTTTGTCCCCTGCCCCAGACATGTTATACTCAGGAGACCAATGGCTGCAGGTCACCTCAGCGTGTTCTAGGATGCTCACCACTGCCTCAGCTGTAAACAGAGGTTGCACTCAGGGACACCCAAGGCTGTCTGGAGCTCCAATGTGAATCTGTGACCCTCTCCCCTTTAGAACCACCACCTTCCAGGGTCACGTATACAAGGACCAGCTGTCCCCTCCTGTGTTCCCTGTGTGGACCTGAACCTTGGCTCCAAGCCCAGATATGCACCACTGACTGGCAAGGCCTCTCCACCATCCAGCCCTGTCCCCCGTGGGATGACACACAGCAGCTACCAACATGGTCCCATTAATGATGCCACTGGAGCTTTACTGGGCCAGCAGGACTTGGAACAAGAGTCAGGGCAGCCAAGTCTTGTGGCATATGCTGAGCCCATCCCGGAACACCCTGGCTGAGGAACACGTCTCACACCTACGCAACCACAGCAGAACTACCGAAGGGCCTGCTGGCTCAGTACTTAGGCCACCATTAAGCCATCCTGGGGCTGTGTTAGTTTCTGTTGCCATGTAACAGGTCTCCAGACACTTCACTGCTTCAGACATCACTTATTACATCAGTTTCTGTGGTCACAGCCTCGCTCAGGACACTCCACCTTTGCACTCAGGGTACCACCCTTTCTGTACACTTGAGGTTCTCAGCCAGGCATGTGCTGGTAGGCCAGAGCTTCCAGTGGCTGTGTGGAGGGCCTGCTGTCTCAGCACTGTTTGTTGGGGGAATGTCCTTGCTTGGACCTCGTACAACTTGGCAACTTCTATATTGGTGGCAAGCTTTGCTCTCTAGTTCTTAATGATCACTTGATTGCGTCAGGCTCACTCAGGATAATCTCCCTTTTAATCCACTTTAAGTCAGCAGGGACTTTAACTACATTTGAAAAATCCCTAGGCTTTTGCACAGAACTCCTCTAATTCTAGAAGGGAGATTCCACAACTCTTGCAGGTCTTGCTCAGGGGCGACACAGGAGCATGGGTCATTAAGGCTGTCTCAGGACACAGTACCCCCAGGCTTAGAGCTCAGCTTCAGCCTCAGCCCTAACTAAACTCCAGCAGCAGGGACCAGAAGAAAAAGCAAGCCAGAATCCCACCAACCTATCAGACAGGTAACAGTTAACACTTGTATTTATAGGTCAAACAAAAATCCAGTCTCTTAAACCCATACAATCTCCCCCAGGTGTTTGGCAGGACTCATTCTGGGTCTGAGAGGAACCCCAGTGAGAAGAAGAGTCAGAGATGTGCTGTTGGTCCAGTCTGCCCTGCTCCTCCCAACCGGGACTCCCTTAAAAAGAGGCACTACTTGTAAGGACAGCACTGGCCCCACTGTGCAGGCTGCCAAGTTCTCCCAGAGAACACTTCCCAGTCCTGGCAGAGCTGGGTGACCCAGGGACACCACATGCACCTACACACCCCTCTTGGAAGTGAGGTACAGGAGTGTGCAAGTGTAACACCTGTTGGTGAACGGAAATGACAAGACACAGGCAGGGTGGAATGGGACAGAGGGACAGGATGGATCACAGTAACCAGTGAGTGACCCCTCTGGTGCCCTGAGGTCACAAGACAGTTGACTCAAGTCACCAAGAATATATGCTGACTCCCTGCCAACTTGGAAGGACAAGGAGGTGGCAGGGTTACTGAACCTGTCACAGGGTATAAATACTCAAGATATCTGGCTCAACAGTGTATGTCAGCATCTTACCATGAGGTCCCAACACTCAGTGAGAAGCTGGGCCTCTTTGGGAAACCAGGCTCCACCACGCCTTGGTCTTTTGGGAGACAGCACCACTACCACACTGCACTGCACACAGCCCACCTCATTGTCTACAGATTTCAGAGTGGGCAAGTCCAGAGGAGGCAGGAGGAGAGGGTCGGGAGTGGATGTGGAGCAGGCACGGCCTTGGGGTCCCTCCTAGGCATCATGCAGGTTGCTGTTGCTCAGGAGAACCTTCTCCCCAGGCTTAAAGGCTGGCATCCCGAGGTAGGGGCAGCTGGCACAGCGGAATGCATCACCCAGGTAGCAATTTCCACAGGCCGACTTGGGCTGGGAGCTCTTCTGTGCCTCCGACTTCTCCTTCTCCAGTTCTTCTGCAAGGCCACAGGTGCAGTTCTTGCAGGCCTTCCTCTTCTTCCCCTCTCCACAGGAAGTGGCCCGCAAGGAAGCAGGATCAGGCTTTTTCAAATCTTCTGGATCCAGCAG